GTCCAGCTGTCGTCGCTGCGCTATTGACGAAGGCATCCGCTAACCCTGCAGTGCAGAACGGCGATGGAAAGACTCCCTACGATATCGCCGGTGATCGTGCTACACGTGATGCCTTCCGTGTCGTCCGCTCAGAATTAGGCGAGGAGGCTCGAAACTGGGAGGGCGGTCGCGTGGGCGCCGCACTGTCCAAAGCAGAAGTCGTGTCACGGGCCGCCGAAGAGAAGAAAGGCGCGGAAGAGGAGAAGTTGCTCGAGCAGCAGCGCCGAGAAGAGGCGGTCGAACGTCTGCGTCGTGATGAGAAGGACCGCTCCGAGGCCGCTCATGACAAGAAGTTCGGCAAAGGAAAGGCCGTTGGCGTCAGGGAAGCAGCGAAGCCTCTGTCTGCGCAGGAGAAGAGAGAGGACGACGAGCGTGGATTGACGCCGGAGATGAGGATGAGACTTGAGCGGGAAAGGAGGGCCAGAGCGGCTGAGGCGAGAATGAAGGGCCGGTAAAGGATAGAAGAGCTCTGTCCGATACAGGCGATTGGCGCGGTCCCACCAGATTTGGTCCGTATCTGTCGTCTCAAGTCGTATACCAAACAAGTCCTCACCTGAGCTGGTAAGGCACACTCCCACAGCGTGAAGCGTTGAACAATTGACCCCAAAGCATCAATACTCAACCTCCCTTCCCCGTCGCCTTGGCCATCTCCCTCTCCTTCTTACGGGCCAAGAACCGCTCACGAGCAGACATCTTGTCCTCCTCGGTCTTCTGACTCTTCGCCTGCCGCTCCACCCGCTGCCGCTCCTCCTCATCTTCTTCCGCCTTGCGCTTCGCCGACGCTTCGAGCTGTGCCTCCATTTGACGCGTCTGCCGCTCGCGCGCGGCTCGACCTGCGTCTTCTTTGGCGCGGAAGGCATTTGTAGACTGTGACGTGGGCCGGGTCCGCAGGTGCTCTGCGCTTCTTGCGGCGCCACCGTTCGTGTTGCTGTTGCCCGATGGTGTGAGGTTCAGACCTGCGGAGAGCAGCTGCCGCTTGTCGGTGATTTGGCCTTCGTCATTGAGCGTCACTGCTACGCCCTTCTTGCGCATGTCTTCTGCCAATTGCCGATCTGAAGGCCGTTCGGTGTCCAGCCTATTGGCTTCATCCATTTTCCCTCCTTGTTGCTCGAGCATAGCCGTCGCTTCTGCTGCTTCTGCGTGACGTCTCTCATCCTCGCCGAGCACAGACCGGTAGAATCCAGCCATGCCGCCTCCCGCCTTCTTCCTTCGACGGTCTTCTTCCTCGGCTTTGCGCTTCTCTTCTGCCTCGACCTTCTGGGCCTCTTCTTGCTGCGCCTTGTAGGCGCCTGTCACGAATTTCTCCTTGTCCGCGAATTCGTCGCCCTCAGCCTCGCGCTCGCGCTGTAGCACCTTCTCTCGCGCCACGAGCTGGTCTTGTTTCCGCCGCGCGGCCGCATCAAGCAGGTTGTTGATGTACTTTGGCTTCCGCTCAATAGCATCCTGGCGCTCCGCGGCCTTACGAGCGTCTCGCACTGCTGACTGTGCGGTGTGAAAAGAGTCATAGTCGTAGATTGTGGGATCGGCCTCCTCTGCCGCTTTTGAATGTCTCGTTGCTGCCCGGTCCGACGATATGTCCTTGTACGCTTCTTGGGATTCTCCGAGCCGAGACTTTGGCGGACCTGAGGGAGCCTGGGGCGCTCTCTTCGACTTCGGCGCCTTGGTGGTGCTGTTCGTCGGGTGCGTGGACGTGAAGTCCAGAGTCGTTATGGATTCTTCGATAGATGTATTGTTGGTAGAAACATCGTCGTTATCCGAGTCATCGTCTTCGAAGATCGAAGCTTTCTTGTTTGACACAGGTGCAGCAGAGGCCGCCCTGCTCTTGGGCTTCACATTGAGCCCGAAACTCAAGGACATCGTCAATGGATCTTCAGATGCCAGGAGCGGGCGGAGGAATTGTTTAGCTTGGAAGTGGAAGAAGTTATGAGTATGGAACCCTAACCCTTGAAGATAACTCTGAGTCTCATTCTCACCATTCACAGGCTCCAGTTGATGCAATAGAGTGAGAGAAAAGCTGAATGAATCTTGGAATCCGTATGATCTGTGGGCAATGCTGTCAAATCGGGAATATCAAGATCCGTGTAGTGAAGAATGACTATTGGATCTAGGCACTGACTCAAGCGCTGTTGAAGGCCATCTCGAAGCTGACTCGTTTCTCACCACCCAGATGACGCAGCTGTAGGCGACAACATGGCGGGCAGCTCCGCGGCAACTTCAACTGCATCTCAACTACTCTAGCGATTGCAACGCCCTCCCAGACTTCATACAGCGTAGCTCTGCAAACTAGCGGGACTGAGATCCACTGCCGTTCCTGATCCCGGTAAGGTCCCGAGGCGGCACCGCGCATCGCGGCGAGCAAGGATGTGGGACGATGAAGACAACAACCCCTATGGGAGCTTCAATTGTCGAGACTCGGAGGGATCTGAAGTTCAAGGTGCGATTTCCTTCCACGTACTGATTCAGGAAAGAGGCACGGAGAAATTGACCATGATCAGCTGGCTACGGACACGTTCAGACGACACCGCCATCTGAGCCAGAAACAGCGGGCCCCGCTCCATACACGCCGACTTCGGCAGGTCATGATGATGCCGAAGAAAACGCTGATTCACAGCCGATCGCGCCAAAGAAAGGCGGTTACGATAGCCGTATCGAGCAGATATTGTACGAGAATCGCGATCTGGAGATTCAGATAGTCCATGCGGGCAAAAATGCTGAAGGCGGAGGATACATTGTTTATACGATTCGCACAGGAGTAAGAAGGTCCCACCTCTCCAGGACGGAGTATCTCAGCTGACTGTTTTCTAGGAGATTGAAGTGAGACGGCGTTACTCCGAATTTGCCTCTCTCCGGTCTACTCTTGTGGCGCTTCATCCGACTTTGATCATTCCGCCGATCCCAGAGAAGCATTCCATGGCGGATTATGCTGCGAAGCCGACAAAGGCGAAAGAAGACGAGGGCATCATTGAGTTGCGAAAACGGATGCTTGCGACGTTCTTGAATCGGTGTAGGAAGATGAAAGAGGTGCGCGAAGACGGGGTTTGGTGGAGGTTCTTGGATCCCAATGCGAGCTGGAATGAGGTACTGCATTCTCACCCGGTCGCCTCGATACCTAAGAACACTCTCAAAGCTCCCCCTCTCAATCCAGCCAACCCCTCACCGGGACACCAATTCCTCCCGGTACCTTCTTCTTCAGCGAGACTGCGCTCTGCTGCATCGGGAACTTCAACTTCAGGCACACCTATCGCTTCTCCTCTGACTGGCTCTCAAGCTTCAACAGCAGCTCACTCGACTCCTGGTCCTCAGATATTTGGGCGCTTTCCACCGGATGCACGGTCCTTGGGCGAAACCGACTTGGACCCGTACTTTGTCCAGTTTGAGTCGTCATCTAAGGAGCTTGAGACATTGCTACAGGGTTCGATGGAGAAGGTCAACCAAAGGATGCTGTCTCATCTTTTCAAGTTGGGTGAAGACACAGTTGATCTTGGTGCTCGATTCAATGCCTTTTCCCTGTCCGAAATGTCGCAAAGCGTGGCCGCCGCAATAGAAAAGACTGGACAGGCATCCGACACGACCAGTCTCGAGACCAAGGAGCTATCGCACAACCTGAGTGCTCAATTTGCGGAGCCAATGAGGGAGAGCGCGCAATTCGCAGGAGTCGTGAAAAATGTTCTACGGTATAGAATTCTGAAGCGTGTGCAAGAAGAAATGACACGAGATCAACTTGATAAGCAGCGATCAAGTCTTGAGTCACTGGAAAGAAGCGAACAAGAGGCCAAGCGGATACAGCAATACCTTGACAGCGCAGGCAGCCCAGGTTCGACCCCTCCACGCCGCAGTGCTAGCACTGGAAGTAACGTTGGGAAGAAATCTGCACCGCGAGACCAGCATGCGCGTAGAGCGGAAGATGACTCGGCAAGCATCGACTCTGATTTTCCTCCGACGACAGGTACTGCTGCTCCTTCGGCGAGCCAAGGCCTGCCGGAAATAGACAGCAGTCACAAGCGTACAACATCCAGCAGCGGCAATTTTGTCACGAACAAAATCTTTGGCCGCATTACGCACGCCTTTAATGGTGCGCTGGACTCTGATCCGGAAAGGGCGCGAAGAGATCAAATTGGCAAGACGCGAGAAAGTCTAGTGCAGCTCGAGCAGGCTCTTGAGGTTTCGGAACGCGATGTCAAAGACGCGAGCCAAGGCGTGATGCGAGACTTGAAGAGGTTTCAGGGTGACAAAGAAGATGACCTGCGGAAATACATGGTATGCATTCGGTGCTTCAGTATGTACGAAATCACGGGCGTATGAGACTGACACTTTCCACAGATGAACTTTGCCCGCTGCCATATCCACTGGGCTAAGCGTAGTATTGAGAGCTGGGAAGAGGCCAAAGCGGAGGTCGCAAAAATTGACGTGCAATGACAAGCCTGAACAACAGGGAGCCTGCAAGATCCTCACCCAAAGTGCGCGCCGTGCGGACCAGGGCGAACGCAACTCAAGCCCCTCGACGAGGTGGCAAGACCTCTTACAACTTTCAAGAAGAGACAGAAGAAACGGCTAATTGGAAGCCTCGACCTGTGCTCGAATGAAAGCAGCGCTACGACGTTTTGGAAGCTGCAAGGCCGTCAGTCAAGATTTTTTCCTGTGCAGCGATGGACTAGCATAGCGCATGCACTTTTTGGTCTCACTCGCCGACCTTACGACAGCACCTTGCCTGTGGCAGCAAGAGTGCATATTGATATAGATAATGAATTTATAATCAACCTTCATCAGTGTATGCAGCTGTGCAATTAAGGACCCCGCCTGTACACCATGCCATATGCGAGCGGTAGATCAGCCTTGGTCAAGAAATAAAGTAGTAATGATGTGGACATAAAATTCAAATCGCCATCTAAACAAATCAAAAATCGACGAGCGCCCTTCAGAAGTGGTCAAGTGTATCACAGCAAAAAAGGGAGCAAAAGAAATGGTGACAGCTGTGAGATTCGAACTCACGCCTACGAAGTAGATGGCGGATTAAAGATTCAAGGATATCTCCTTAACGCCACGCCTTAGACCAACTCGGCCAAACTGCCATTGATGAAAGGGTCGGCGCTAAGAGATAATATAACCCCAGCAAACTCTGCCAAAGCCTAGGCTGGCTTATCCATTGCCCTGCGCCAATACTAGTCTCTCATAGAGCTACCACGATTTTATTGGATATTTACGTAGGGCGCTCACGAGTGGTGCCACACTTTGTGTCGATAATGAGAGCGAGAAAGCCCTCGAATTTAATATCCGAATGGTCTATGCAAAGCCAAGATCGTTTCTATGGTTGTCAGGCATCTATGCGGTGCTTGACAATTGGTTCCTTGTTCCTTGATGCTGGGTATGGTCACAATATTACCTCTGCGAACGTGGCAATAGCAAGATAGGTGATTGTCAGGATTTCACGGTCACTCATAGCTCGATACGCTCGTGTGATACGCCGTCAACTCGTGAAAGGGTTGGTTTAGCAAGTGCTGCTCGGTAAGGCAGACTATGGTACAAAGAACATGCCATGATGGAATAGGGTCAGGCGGATGCTCCTTCGCCCAGCCTTGGTTGAAATGCTTACAGTGATCAACTTTTCAAGCGCGATGAGGTACATGCCACTGATCAAGCACCAATGGAGTAACTATCACGGAGGGCAGCGGATGCAGCGAGCGCGAAGTCGTACAATTTATCTGTTCAACTATCTCCTTATGGGAGCGAGCCGATATATCCGACAAGACCGGGGCATCCGGCATATGTGACATGCGCGACGCGGGATGCGGGAGGCATGCGGCATGTTTGGATATTCCCGGGCGCAGATCTGGGCAGAAAAGGCCGATGCGCCCTGTCAGAAACGGGGCGCTCGAAGACCAGCAGAAGAACGTCAATGTTGTCGCCCTGCAGCACCGCATCTGTAGAAGAGCAAAAAGCCACCACGGCTGCCAGTTCTTGGTGTCTCATCCGTCTCATCCTCTAGCTCTCCTCTAGCCCTCCCGTGGACGTCGTGTAGGGGTAAACCAGCGATTGCTAGCATTTCCAACGTTCGGCCCGTCGCCCAGCGTGTCCTGCTGATCGCTACCTTCAACCAAGTTGCTCCTCGCCGTCCAAGCCCTCGCTTCTTGGCTGGCGCCACCCTCGATCGCCTTGCAAGCCTTCCTGTCGACTCGCATCTCGCCGCCACCGCAGCAGAGAGTCGCGCCGCACCCCGTTCCGCCGACTTCGTTCTGGCCGTCGCATCCGCCCAAAGTCCCACGCGTAGCTGCTGTCCACTCGAATTACCCACACCCACCCACCCAAAGCCCCTCCCACACCAAGCCGCTCTGCCGGTGTCGCACCAAACGGAGACCGAAGCTGGTCCCGAGCTGAAAGCATTCGTCGTCACGTCTCTTCTTGAAGGGTCCGTCCCTCGCCATCTTTCCATGACTTCGGCCGTTGCTCTTCACCCTTTGCCAGACGCGAGCGCACCGCACGAGGACGACTCAGAGTCCTCCTTCCTCGACAACACATTCCACGTCAGCGAGGACCTGGTGCAGTCTCCGCAGCACAAGGCCGCTGGATCCTCTGACGTGCTCGCGCTGAATCACCTGCTCCCCCCACACACGCCGTTGCGACTGCACCAGGATCTGAAGGAGGGCTGCGGCGGCCAACTTTGGCCCGCAGGCGAGATACTTGCCAGATACCTCCTCACAAGACAGAGTGACGCTTTTCAGAACTGCTCCATGTTGGTTGACCTTTTCCTTTCGCGCTACATTTGTTTTTCCGTCACCGCGGCATCAGGCCTGTCGTGCAGAATCCCGCCTCTATCACGTGATGGCATGAGCTGATGTCCATCTGTTGCAGACTTGAACTCGGTGCCGGAGGTGGCCTTGTAGGGTGAGTAGGCGCACGTCCTAGACCGGACTCCTTTCTACGATCTCACGTCCGGTCGCTCACTGATCCTAGGCTCGCCGTCGCTCTGGGTTGCAAGCTCACTCACCCCGTTCACATCACTGATCAGCTGCCTATGCTGGCGTTGATGAACACGAATATACACCTCAACAATCTTCAGGACCAGGTGAAAGCATCAATATACGACTGGGGTAGCCCCGTGCCTGAGGGCCTCCCTCATCACCCCGACATCCTCCTCGCCGCCGACTGCGTCTACTTCGAACCTGCATTTCCGCTGCTGCAGCGGACTATGCAAGATTTGATTGGACCTAACACCGTGTGCTACTTCTGCTTTAAAAAGCGGCGCCGTGCCGACTTGACTTTCATCAAGACCATCAAGAAAACCTTTGACGTCCAAGCTGTCGAAGACGACCCACATCAATCCAATTACGCCCGCGAAAACCTGTATTTGTAGGTACACGTATTGGTGGGGCTATCGTGGATTGTTCTGGCTAACGTCATTAGATATCGTATCACGGCAAAGAGTCCCACAATGCAATCTTCCTCCTAACCTTATGTTGTGCTTTTTGGCCCCGTCGCGGAGCTGACTCGCGATACCCTAACGAGTCCTGCGACGCGTCTGTTCTTGGAATTCCGCATTTCGCATCCAAAAGTCCAGCCACACACTTTTAAGTTGCGATTCATAAATAAAATCCGACCAGGGCCTCGACTTGATACCGAAACATCCAAGACTTTCTCTCGATTCGATACAGCATTCCTGTCCTGAGGCAAACAAATAATCTATACCATTGCAGCGAGACATTTGAGTTGCAACATCGTCTATTCACAGAACCTCCAAATTGCCTATTCTTGTCAAGCAGCCGCTCATGCTCTTGCTGACTCGATTCCACCTAAGTCCTGGGAAAGCTCCCGGCAAGACCTACGGCAGTTGCCCCCCGAGTCGCGAACCTCACCACAACATACAAAAAGTACTCAACAGGATGCACCTGTCTCATTCTCGCACCCATCCCTCACGTCACACCGTTGATTTCAACTTACCAACTAGGCCAGCACTCAAAAGGGAACACACTTTCAAAGGAGCAGTCGATAAAGTTGTGACATCTATACGGCGGGTCGCAACTACTACCAATCTAAAGTCCCATCACGAAGTGCAGACTACTGTCCGAGCCTCGGCCACTCATAAAAGTCCGCTCGCTCCTGATTTTGTTCTGCCACGTGGTGCCCAAATATCTGTCTCGCGGGAATGCACCAAAACCACCCTTTCTACGTCAGCCAAAAACGAATTCCTTGTCGACGAGCTTCTCCACAATAGGAAAGAGAGACCCTTGTGGTGGTTCAACACACAAAGAAAATTGGAAGGTGCTTGCAATTTCGAACATGGCACTTGTGATTGCCAATCGATACCAGTCTTTGCTGACGGGGATGACCTCCACCCGGATCGGTCTGTCAACGATGCGGACTACATGGAGCATTTCAAGCCTCTTCAACCTCGGTCTGCGATAGTACCAGATGATCTACCATCGGCACATACGACCGCGCCGCCCTCCCGAGACGACCCGCCACCCTCGGTCAATAGATCGAAATCCCGATCTGTTTCCTTCCTCGCCGCACGCGATCATCAGCTCAAAACTCCGAATGCCGACTGCATCTCGGATATGTTGAAGAAACGAGCGCCACCTACGCGCTGCCGGCGAGGAAGTCGTGGTGCAGCATAACTGTTTCCTCCTGACATGCAGATTCTTTATGACGATTTTGTCAGGCGTGTAACGATCTCACGTCTGGACATTGACAGCACTCTTTTATATGAAAACACGGGAAAGGATAGAGATGGTGGATACACATCGCCTTGGACATGAAATGATCCATGTTGTATTTAGTCTAACAGAGCGACTCTTCGTTTGAAAAAGTTGCCAGCTTCAATCAAGCTTCTTGTTCATATAAAGTCATACGTATCTCCACCGCGGTCTGCCAGCATCTGCTTGACCCTTGATGAGCCGACAATACGCTCCAGCTTCATGCCATCCCATTTGGAGAACACAGCACGGCAACCAACCTCTGTAGCGCCAGCTTTGCCCTCATCCACCGTATTAGCGATCATCTCAACGACTTCTTTGTAAAAGACATCATCGTCAGGCAGCCCGTACCAAACAACTCTCTTGACGCCCTTAATCCTGTACCGATGAAAATGATGTGCGCGCACGGAATACAACAGCACAGAATGCTTCCCGGAGACGAAATGGCTCCTCGCGCGCCTCGATTCAGTCACGCTGCTGTACTCGCTGACGGCGCCGAACGCGACATTTTCTGTCGCCGTCGACGCGGCGAAGAAGTTTCGCACCCGGACGAAGTCGAGATACGTCGGTACCAGGAGCAAGATCCCGGCTGGGGAGATGGAACTTGATGCCGAGGCGGCTTTGACGATTGCGGGGAGGACTGCGGAGGAGAAGAAGGCGAACCGGGCGTCTGGGTCAGCGGTGGGGGAGGAAGAATCGAAGCGGGAGAAGGTCTGCTTGATGCCTGAGGGTAGAGACAGGGATTGGATAGTGCCGTCGTACTCGGGTTGTAACTTTACTCTGCCGGAGATGTTGAGCGCATTGGAGTTGAATAAAGAGTTGATCTCCGGCGTGAGAAACGGTGATGCAATGATCGTTTGTCGTAGGTACTTGGCCTGTCCGTCGAGATACCATGCTTTGACGCGGGTGAAGTCTGCGCCGTGAGAGTCGCGAGGCTGCTTGTTGAGGTGAGATATACAATATGCAACATGTGACCAATTCTGTGCTTGCATGGCATGCACCTGGTCCATGGCTAGAATTTCTATCGAGGATAAAAAGTCACTGTCTCGCTTCTTGGGATCCGAGTCTCCGATGACACGCCGTAGCCCTAAGGGCGAGCATATCAGCAAGTCAGACTGGTAGAAAGAGGCGAATAGTTTGATAGTCTTCCTCGTGAACTTGACGGCGAGCCGAAAATCGTTGTCAGCGTTCCCATCGAACAGGGATAGATGATCCTCTGGCATGGAGGATGGCAAATGCGGATCAGCATGGAATGATGACTCGAAGCGAGACCAGTTTTCGCGCTGTTCCGGGCCAAAGTAACGCATGATTGATGAGATCCATCGATAACACTGCTCCCGCGTCTCTAATAGGATAAGTACTTTCGGGCGAGTGAAACCCTG